TAATAATTTCAATCGCGATTCAGAGTGGGGAGTGGTGTAACCTCCATAGTTTTGTTCATGATGGTTGTAGATCTGCTTGGGATCCGTACTTGAGCAATTGGATTAAAAACAAAATCAAGACAGCCGTTGTCTTTCCTACTTCATTGAGGGAGTTCTGTTCTCTGAATTAAATTGTACAAGGAAACACTACTTTTCTCTGACTAAGAGGAAGAGGTGGGGAGTGGAGGAATAAGTCTGTTTAATAAAGTTCTGTTGTGAAGTTGGATTAAACCATGTTACCATAGTTAAAATTGTATTTAACAAATTTTAGAAAGTTATGACTATGTGAAGGCGTAAAATGCCTACAATCTGTCTCAGTCTCCCATAAAATCTAGAATCTTAGCTTCTTCCAAAATATCAACAGCTCATTGTTTGAAATGCAAAAAGTCCCAAAGCAGGTGGGACAGAATTTGCAGAAGTGGTCAGTCAGTAGTGGTATCATTTTTAGGTGCAGGCGATATTTCCTCTTTTTTGTTTATCCAACTAGTTCATTTCAAGGATTGCCTGATCTGAAGTTCAGAAAATGATTGTGAAGGTTCAAAATGAAGGAAAGTTTAAAAACAAACATCCCTGAGATGCCAAGTCATATTGTTAATGGAGAAGGGAGTCCTGAGACTGAGATCTCTAGCTGTGTGTGTGTGAATGCATGAAATTTGGAAAGCCTGGCCAGGGAAGAAGGTGAGGAGTTTCTGTTTTGATTTCATGATGGTAAGAAAAATTGTCTTTGCCAAGGTCAGTTGGTGTTGGAAAGACCAATGAAAAAGTCTTAAATCTGCTTCTAACAATTACTCTTAAACATTGTATGATGTAAGTCTTTTAAAACCTAGGACACAGTGTCTGAAACAATTCTCTTGATACAGCTTCCTTTAAATTAGTTTTTGATGTAGAATGACTTTGATAAATTTACTTGTATATTCAACATGTTAAAGAAGTTCTAATACATTTAATTTTGAAGTGATACTCTTGCACAATTTAGATGGAGTCCGATTTCATCTGCGTGCAAGGAAAGAATCACAATTCAAGAAAAATAATATATTAAGCTTCATTGTTTCAATGTAGCTAAACCACACAATATAGGCATTTGAATAAATGTATGAAATACTGTATATGCAGGCCTTAATAGATGTTGAGATATTTTGTTCTTATTTAGCAAAATGAGATACATTGGCAAGAATCAATCTTCTAGAAAATTAAATCATATTTAGGAAACTGAAACTACAAATACAACATGAGGTCAAGATTTTTTTTTTTATTTTTAGGTCAGTGTTTTTTGTTTCATGATTTCAATGATGATGATAAATGGTATTTTTAGATTACTTTAAAGCGATCAAATCTTAAGTATCTTTTAGAAAATAATAGACTTTCTATTTCTGGATTTTAATTTTTAATAGGAAGTCTCCATAGCAACACTTGCCCAGCTGTGGTAGCCATTGATCTTTAAAACTTAAATTCCACATGGATTTATTTATTTTTTTAAAATCTGTTTCCAGGTTCCTGATTTCTTGTTAGAATTCAATTGAATTCTGCAGTATCAAATTTTGAGTTCTGTTGCTCTGTAAATAAATTTCCCCCATGATGTTTTCTCTAGGAAATAACTTCCTTGGCTTGAGTGGACTGGGCCGTCTTCCACTCGTGTTGTCATGTCTGGATTCTCTGCAATGACTTGAAAGTTTTTTCATAATTCAATGGTGACTCACTGCTAAATGTCAAGGTGCTAAGCTTGCTCTTGCTTAATGTCTATTTGCACACAGAAAGATTACAATTTCCCTTTAAAAGCTGTATTACTGGCTTTGGAGAATAACAAGTAAAATGTGAACTTCCATGCCCTTGTTTCCAAGATGCAAAGTCTTTCATAGAAATTCCAGCTTTCATAATAGCTTCCCATCCTGTTACCTGTTCTTTATTGCTACATGTGTCTTCACACTTACCTATATAGAATGACATTAAATATGGAAACATTAAAAATAGATGTTAGCCAACCAGCTCCCTCATTAGTTCCTTTTGTATCAGAGGGAAACTGAAATATTTAAGTTCTATTTCACAAGTGAGCCCTCTGAAGATAGGAAACGTAAATGGTTGATACCTGAAGTTATGGTGTTTGGGGTAAAGAGGTGTTTTAAAAGCTGTGTAGTTTTTGAGAGAAGTCTTAAAATACACAGTTTACTCCTGATTCCAGTAACTTTTTTTTCCTTGTGACTTTCTCTGTTTTTCTCAAGATATTAAATTTTCCTCTTACAGTTATTTGAGCAAAATGGATTGTTCAAGGTGGTGGTGTTTGTTTCTTTGTGTCAATATCTAAGAGGACTCACTAAGATTTGGTTCTCAAGTAATTATTTAAAAGCTGATTTTTATAGAGGAAATGGTGTGTGGTATTTAAAAATTATTTCTGAAATAATCGATTCGTTCACATTTATTGCGAAAAGTGTATTGTGGTCTGAGAAATGGCTAAGAATTCCTGATGCTCAGCTGTGATAAATATAAACCCCATATTTAAATTTTTTTTTAAAAAGCCAACTTTTAGATCACAGATAAGAAAAGTCTGAATGTTTGCAATACCTCGTAGATTTGTTTTATGGAAGCTTTCAATATCCTGCAGATTTGAGGTATGCATGTGCCTGACTTTTTTTTTTTTTAAGAGAAGCATTGACTGGTTATTTCCGATGCAGTGAAAATACTTGCTTTACACTGTTTTTTGCCTTTCTTACGTGTAAGACAATGAGAACTTGGGCTGCAAGAAGCACGATGTTTGCAGCCCATCTATCTCTTGCAGAGGGTTTAAGTCTGGTGGTCCATGACTGCTGGCAGTTGCCCCTAGAAGAGACGCCTGGTTTGGGGTGTCCAGGGCACTGGTCGGGCTTGACCAGGTGCTTTCTTCTGGTGTATTTTATTTCTGGAGGAGCAAGATGAAAACCTGCTGTGACTTGCGCTTGAAGTTTAGGCTAGAAAAATCTGATTGAGTGGATATTGAAAAATTGAACAAGTTTCCTGGAGTGTTTGTTGCACGGTCTGATGCCCCTGTAGGGGGATGCAATGGGATCCCGGGCAGGGCAGGAGGAGCCCTGGGGGGTTGGCAGGGACAATCAGGCCTTGTGATGCCCTCGGGGCTCTCACAATATAAAATCAGACATATGCTATGTCCTGTTGTAACCATAACCAGAAATATGCAACAGTCTTCCACTGTCATTCAGTATTACAGTAATCTTTGGTATACAAATCTGGGTGTAAAACTTGGATGCACTTATGAAAATGCTTGAAGGGCCTCCTAAAGTAGGAAAGTGGTAGAGAAATTATAAAGAGCACTACAATTCTTTAAAAATGTATAAAGCTTTTTTATTTTACAGATACAATGTGGTGACTTAGCTGAATTAAGTTCTCTTGAAGCTAAGACTTTAGGTTTTGTAATTGCTTAGTGATATCATTAATATTTTGAGAAATTGAATTTTTGATTTGATCTTTCAGTATTTGGAGGAAAAGAAGGAATCTGCATCTAAACAGAAATAATTTAAATATCTACACATTACTTAAAAGCTACCTCCTAATATTCTGATCCTTATGGGTGTTAATGGTTAGACTAGGATTCAGCATATACTGTTGATGCTTTTCATATATCTAATGACGGATATATCTTATGGTACTTCTGTTTATGCAATTGTTACATAATTAGAAAATGCATAAAGCACAAAAGCCACCAGTTAATTTTTCATATGATTAAAAAAATTTTATTAAGAGTTTATAACAGACTCAGAAACCACAAGATTTTGGTATAAAATGTCAAGCACTTTCTATTTCAACCATTAAGATCTCACTTTTGATGAAATAGCAGCACTAAGTTGGTGTCTATATCCTTGGCTTCCTGCAAGAAAGGTTAACATACTGGTCTGAAGATGAGAGAAAGGGTAAAAATGCAGCTCTGATATTTTCAGATCTTACACTTAATTCAACTTGGAAGCTTGATCCCTTTCCTGTAGTAAGTTTAAGGACTGCAGCAGAGCCTGGGAAGGGTCCACGCTGGCTCTTGCTGTTTGTAATGAACAAAACGCATCTTGCTGTGGAGCTCTGGGATACCACCTGTTCACCATCTGAATTGTTAAGGCAAGTGGTGTGTGCCTGGAAAATTTGGCAGAGTTGAGAGTTCTCAGGCTGTAGTTTCACAACAGTTTTAATCTTTCCAAACTGACAGGACTGAGTTTTGATCCCTGTCCAGCACCTCTGGTAGTGTGTGTGCAATTCTTACGTGAGATACTTCAGCTCATTTAAACCAACAGAAAGTTACCTGCTCCTCGGATTTGGCCAGGTTTCTGCTGTTTTAATGAACTGAAGCAGGTCACTTGGGGTATCAGACAAAGTCCAGGGGAGGTGTAAGGGAAGAGATAAGGTTATCATCCTAATGCCAGCTGCATGTGCACAGATTTGGGCTTAATCTGGAATGGGACTGTAACCAGTGAAGTGCAAGCCAAGCTGCCTTCCCTATTTCATACTTCATTAGATTGTAGAACTTTGGGTCAGTTTTATTTTTTTGTGCTAACATGATGAAAATCCGTGGTCTCTAACTCCATGGCTTCTATAGTTCTGTTTTAAATAATGGAAGTTTTCTGAACCTGGAACATGCAGTGTGGTTTTGACTCCCCTCTTGAGGGTCAAAACCAAAGGAAACGTTCACATGAGTCCAGGTGAGGTGGGTACGTAGCAGAATATTCTGTGAGGAAGAAATGATGCTTTGCCCTCTTGGTTGGCCCCATAGAGAAGAGAATTAGTATTACCATTACCAAGGGAGCACTTCTGTACCTTAGGCAGTAGAAATTAAAAGGCTGTATAAAACAGCTGAAGGGACAGAAGTTTAGTCCCCACTCCTTTTATATATGCTGTTCATAACAGCAGTCCACATGTGCTGTACATGTGTTCATACAGATCCAGAAATAAAATCTGGATCTTACCCAGTGTTATTAGAAGGAAACCACCATCTAGTACTCGTCATCATCATCCGAATCTTCTCCTGCAGTTGCAGCTTCCAGCGCAGCCAGGGCTGCTGCTACTTCTGCATCTTCCTCCTCAATTTCTCCATTGATGCCTTTGTGGTTGGGGTGCGTGGGTGCCTGTGCTACTTTGGTAACAGCCACAGCAGTGATACCACTGGGAGAGCCCTCGCTCAAACTTGTGGAGTCAGTTTTAAAAGGTTCAATACTGCTTTCCTTCGTAGGCGAAGGCGGGGTCACACAAAGGTCCTGGTCTTGTATCAGTGAAGGTGCAGCGTTTTGGTCTGAATGTGCACGATCAACTGAAAAGCTTTCTCTTTCAACATAGTTCCTGGTTTGATTGCCATTTTGGGGGTAATCAATGTCTGGCAGTTGTATGGCATTGTTTTGTGTCTCCAGTATTGCACTTTCTTTGACAAAGATGCTATCTTCTGCAGACGGGGAGTTCCCATCTGGAATACTGTTTGGCTCACTGCAGTCTGCATTCCTCTGCCTGCCTGCCTCTAGGTCAAGTTCTTGGCCAGACCTATTGGATTTGGTGTGGAAGTCTCTATTGCTGGCTGAAGAAGACTCTGGTGACAGGCTGGAGGTTCCCTGTTCACTGGCTTCTTTCACTGGGTTTGTGCTGGGATTGAGGATGGGGTGCACTCCAGCACAGGAGCTGCCACCATTGACTGCGACATCAAGCTTTGCAACACACTTCACAAGGCCATCCTCTTGAAAATCATTGCCTCTGTGGTTCCAGAGAGTTTCTCTTGCGCTATTTACCTGATTTTTATCTTCTGTACTGTTTAGCTCATCCTTCTGGGGTTCATTTTTGTGTTCTTGAATATCACTGTTCTCTTTGAATGTGGATTTATTGTTGCCTTGCTCATTGTGTTTGTAGCTGTTTACTTCATGAATGCATCCAGGTGATTGTACTTCTTCTGGATCAAAAATGTAGCTGAAGTAAGGAAAATTTGTAGAGGAAATGTTAATTATACTGGTAATCAATATCATTAGAAAAAGGATTAAGCCTAATGTTTAAACTGGAGATCTTAAGGAACTAGTGTCACTAAACTTTACCTGGGGTCCTGAGAATGAGCTAAACCAGATGGAAATGCTGAACTGTGCTGGAGGCTGCTGTCTCCTGGAATTGACCGTAACCAGCTCCTGTAGTGAGACTCACCAGGAGCAGGAGGAGGATGTCAGAGAATCTTGTGCTGGTTGTTCCAGCTTTATTTTTTTGCTTTCTCTGGTGGGTACATTAGCCAGTGAGTAGTCATCACATAGACTGTTAATCAGTATGTCCTCATGTAGTTGCTAAAATAGTTCCGTTTTCTTTCCCTGGTGTTCTTCCTTTCAACTCTTATCTTTTTGTCCTTTTCTTTTTAAATTATTGTCTCCTCCTTTTTTGTTTCTTACTTTTTTCCTCTCACCCCTAACTTTTCCTTGACCTATTTTTTCCAGAGCTTCTCTTTCTTTCCCACTTCCTTACCTGTTCCAGTGCTGTGGCCAAGGGGAGGAGTAACTGTCAAGTGGGGCTGAAGCATTGTCTTTCTAAAACTAGCTGGTCTCCCTCTCCAGGAGACTTTTAATATGGGAATTGCTCTCACAACTAACTTCATTTAAAAGCTATATGGAAGCACGAATGTGTAGTTCATTTTCATTGCTTAAGAGAGAGGGAGAATCTGACAAAGTCTCCTCCTTGTTCTGCTGAATTGAGGGAAGCTCATGCTACCTAAATGAGAAAAAGCTTTGCTAAAGATGAGTTTTCAATGCCACACAATTTTTCTCTGTGATAGGAATTATAGAAGCGGAGCGCACTCACAGTAAATTAAAAGGATATTCACAGGAAATCAGTATGCCTATGCTCTGGCATGACTTTAAGGATACTGTAAACTTTGGGAAGGCTCCAACCTTGTAAATAAGCGTAATTTAAGCAACAGGTGTAGGGGAGCACAGGCACAAGTTTCAATGCATTTCTTTTATTCAGTCTAAGCAGCTCTTGTTGTTGTACCTTTGTATCATTTTGCAGCACCTGCACCCCATCTGGATTTTCTTTAATCTGAAAAGAGAGAGAGAGAAGGCAAAGGAGAGGGGAAGTGAGTGAAACATTATGAAATAAATGTATGGGTAATTGCATTGAAAACGGTGCTCATGTTTAGAAGGGTTTATTAGCTAAAAGAAAGATGCCTGCATGAGAATAGATGGAGGACAGTTCAAGGTCTTTCTAGGTTGCTATCTTGCATTGACAGTGGCCTTTGGCTGGGGGAGAATCTGGGCAAGAATTTAACAGTTCTTAAACAGATAGTGGTGTTCTCCCACTCTGGCAAATTTATGATTCAGAGACTCCTAAGTCAGAGTAGCTTTTTGGTTTATTTTGGGTGGGTTTTTTCTGTGTTGTGTTTATTTTATTTTATTTGGCAGCTAATGGTGGACTTCTCTTCCACAAATTTGTCCAGTTGTTTTCTGAACTCCAGTAAACTGCTAGCATCTACAGCATCCTCTAGTCAGGAGTTTCACAGCACAGCCTTGCCTATGTGAAGAACTACCTGATTATGTTTGACTTGAACTTGATTCTTACTAGCAGGTGTTTGATGCCTTCTAGTGCTTGTATTTGGACAGACTTTCAGCATCGTGTCCTGTTGTCACTATAGTATAGGTCCTGTACTGCCCTTCAGTTCTGATACGCAGACTGAAGAATGCTTATCTTTTTAAATGTTACCCATAATGATGTTTCATGTATATAGATTGTACTTGTCGTGGTTCACTGGATTTTTTGCATTCAACATCCCTCTTAAATGAGGTACGGAAACCACAAATGCAGAGTTCTCAAGGTGTGGGGAACCAAAGATTCATACTTTCCTGTCTCCACTCAGTTGACTCTGTGACAGCTACTGAGCATCGAGGTGACATTTCTGTGGAACTCTCTCTTAGACACAGACACATTGCTGGGATTGACACTTTATTATATGCAGTGTGTTGCACCCGTATTTTGCTGTGGTAAATTCTTCAGAGTTTGACTAGAGCTAGCAGAGTGTTTGCGATTTGCTACACCTCTGTATATTGCAAGCTTTCTGCGTGTGTGTGTCACTGCCTGACCCAGTGACATGCTAAGAGCTATCTATTACATGGTTCATATGCCAAAGTCTTTTATTATGGGAAGAAATAGTTTGCTAATTTGGACCCTTGAGAACTTTTATGTTCTGAACCTAAAGTGAAAGCATAGATCTGAACATCTCAAAATCCTAGAAAAAAACATTATTCTTTATGAGTTGAGACTATCTTATTTCCAGTTAATCAAGTCAGGACAGGTTGTTAATATGTTTTGCCTATCGTTATTCAGGCTCACTCTTTTTCTCTTGAGACATTCTACAGTCTCGCGTACTTTTGCCATTGCCTAAGGACAGCAGCTCACTTCCCATAAACAGAAATTGATGATGCAAGGTCAGCTTATTTTCTAGAGTGATTTATTCACAAATCACCAAAGGAAAATAGCATTGATATATTCTTACCAAGCATGGCCTGAACTGCATACTAGTAATTATGCTAGCAGAAATTACAATCAAATCTCTGTGGTGTAGGGCTTATCGTCTCAACTTTTTCCTCTAAAATCTGACTTCCTCTGGTGTTAACACTGAACAAAATGTCTGATGTCAAGCCCCTCATTCCTGGAGCCTCTAAGGGGCTGCAGCCATTCAGCAGCTGGTTTTAGCTAAGGGTATAGCTGTTCCGACCTATGCATTTTGTCTTTGTCTGCACGTGAACTGTTTTGGAGCAGAAACTTCCATCAGGAATAGCCAGCTTAGAGCTCGGTGCCTGTTGGGAAGGCTTGTAAGCCAGCTGCTTTGCCTCCTCTGTCTTGGTGCTGCTTCTCTCTTTTCCTTAAATGTGTTCTTCCTTCCACGTTTCTGCTGATCTTGTGCTGTGTGGTGTTGTCCTCCACCCCTCAACAACATCAGAGCAGGAATTCTGAACAGAGTTTTTCATCTGAAGAGGATGCAGTAGCTGATGAGGTGGTCATGTGTACAGACCCTCCTTATGTGCAGTTGCTCTACAGTACAAAGGTGTTTGGACAGGTTTGACTAGATATAGGGGCTTGTTTGAGCTGGCTGGCATAGCCATCTTTTCTAGCCAAGGAGGAATTCTTAATACAGTTTGTTTTGACCATGTTAAAAGCTGAATTAGCTATAGCCTTTCTTTAGGTTAAGACTGATTTGAAGCTAATTCAGTTGAGCTAAGCCCTATGTGGACACTTTTATTTGAGATGTTGACTGACATCTTTAGTTTTCACTTAAACCTGCTTCATAAACTGAAAGAATAGGAACTGCATAAAGTTGACCAGCTGTTGATAGAATCAACCTTCAAGTCTCAATTGTTGGCAGGTTGCTACGTGTTAGATAAGTCACTGTGTGGTCTCCTTTCATGGGAAAGGCAATGTAACTTGGCTTACGTTAAACCTCGTTCTATACAGTTTCTTACCATCCCTCATGCTTGCCATAGGCTAAGAGTATGCAAATATTATTTCAGCTCTTCTAAATCATGATAACTTCAATCGCTGTCAGTTGCCACATGAGCCCACTGAAACACTCACACAGCCTTTGGCTTGGCTTTAAAGTTTGTAAGTTTGGTGAAACCAGTCCCACTTTGTATGCAGACCAGTTCTGAGAACGAATACTGCTTCTAGCTGGGTGCGGTCACTTCAGGTCACACTTTTATCTGACAAATTTCCTACTCAATGCTTTTATGTATAACTCTTTCCGATTTTTAAATGACAAAATCTTGCTCATGGGTTTTAACCATTGGGAAGTACTAATTGCTGTCCTTTATTCTGTTGTAAAGATGCTTGTGGTCATCATAGAAGGCAATTATAAATGGAAATTACTGTTGTTTTCATAGGAAGCACTTTCCTGGTAGTTTTTTTAATTACAATTACTGTTTGAATTGTCTCTGCAGCTACTGCATTAAGCTTTTCCACTGATCAGTTACAACTGGATCTGTCCTCTGGCATGAATAAACTATTACACATCGAAAATACGTGATGTTGTATTTCTTATAAATTATTTCACATGCTTGAAATGGGAATATGGTTTTACAGTGACACTGTCTGAACACTGGCTTGTTGTGTTTTTTTTTTTCCTCCTTGCCCTTCCATATTTATAATAATTTTTCGAGTCAAGTTGGAAAATAAGTCTGGGGAACGAATTGCTTTTGTAGCATGAAAAGGCCTGCTTTCATCCTACTTATCTTGTTTTAGGTACCTTGCTCTAAAGACTTGTGTGATATTTGTAGTTCCATTAGCAGATAAGTAGTATTAATAAGCTCCTGTCTGAAGCAGTTTGAATCAAGCACATGCTACAGACTAGTAACACAAAAGGGTTAAGAGAGCTCAGGCAATGGATAATGATATGTTATCTGATGCTGAGTTTAGAAACATTGCATCCTTTTATGTTAAAACTTTCTTGCCTTTTTATAAGGTGTTTATTCTGTTAGATACTCTGTGCTGCTAAATTGATTAGATAATTTCAGATGAACATGATGTGATGTGGAATGCTTCCCTGCAGAACACTTTGGGGGCTAGTTCCCCCACCCCAAAAAAGGCTGCCTGTCTAAAGCAGCCTTAAAATTTGGATCCTCAGAATTCAGATCAAACTACCATTAATCCTAGACGTCATTCTTTCTCAATCATGAAATTCCTGAAGGCCTGTAAATTTCTGTCACTGGTTATTATGCAGTACTTAATCCAGAATACTAACACATCACCTGGCACTAAAGCTCTACTAAATTATTAAGTACAAATTTAAAAATTTTTTTTTTAGACATGCACTGGAACACTTGGAGCATTTACAGGAAGGAGATGGAACTGTTCAGATAAGAGGAATGAGAGGCCTAGAATTAAATTTTTTTACTCAGATTAATTTTTAACTTTCACTTTCCAGCTTTGAGTAGCTGCTGAATCTTCTGAAGTGTGTCTCTGAGGTTGGACTTGTGCCGTTTTCTACAAAATAATCAGATTCTTGCAGCATGAGAGAGTAGGATAGCATTGTGGCTTGCATATTCAGTGTCAGTGCTTGCTTTGGTTAGTTAGGATACTTTTCTTCAGTGAAAGAGATAGAACAGGCCCAGCTCTGAGTGTGTTTCCTCCAGCCACCCCAGGAGACCTTTAATTGACAATGAAGAAGATAATCTAGATATAATGTCCTTGCAAGGTATTAAATGAGTGTATGCAGAGAGATAAGGAAGACCTGATGTTATGAAAGAGTGACTTTCTTCCTTTAAAAGAAAATGATACAGAAGAGCAACTATTTTAAAATCAGTTGGAAAAATCAGGTAGTAATTAAGACTTTATTTGAGGAGAGCAGAACACCAATTCCATCAGTAAACCAAATGCTGAAAAAGAGGAGGCCACTAGATAGTTTTATGGTGGCACGTGCTAAGAGAACAAAATGGGACTTTTCTTAAAGTGTGAGACCTTGCTGAAGATAACAAGAATAGTGAGAACTCCAAAAACATAACCTTGTGTTACAAGCCACAATGCGCTTTAAGAGAAGCTTGCTTTGATTCATCAGATTTGAGAAACACAACGTATCTGATTTTAAATTATGTAATAACATAGCTTCTATTGTCTGTTTAAACTGTAGCTGTGTTATGAATAAACAAAAGGCAAAGATAATGGCATGAAAATGGAAGGGCAAACACTTTGGAGAAATAAAAATAGTTTGACAACCTTTCTTGATATTCTTGCAAGTTTACACAGAAACAGAAAAAGGCCAATCTTATTTTTGTTCATGATGTGTTTTTTCTTTTGTCTTTGTTATTATTCTTTTTTAAATCCTCAAGGAGCAGGGGCAGAAAGGTGAGGGGAGAGCATATTAAAAGAGCTTTTCTAGTAGGTCTCAAATGGATAAACTCTGGCTTGGTAACTTTTGATCTGGATCATTCTTTTTAAGCCAGTTGGGTGTTTTTGTTTGGGTTTTTCCTCCCCCACACCCTGGTGCTTTTGCTGTTTCTTTGGCTTTTCTCTCTCCTCCATCCTTTCCCACTGTAGA